CCTACCGTTCTTCTATTCTTAAGGAGTGCTTTGCTTATTCGGGGCTTTTTTCCATTCCATACGAAATTGGAGATTGCCTTTTCCATCTCGTTGAAGAAAGTTTTGTTTATTTTATGAGTCACTTTGTTGTTTGGCTGAAAGATACTCTTCCAGTAGTTTTGGTTCAGAGATTATGGAATATTTTAGGACAGTAGTCTCAAAGAGTTCTCTAGTCCCACCTGGTCTAGTAAATGTAGATGTCTTAATTTGAGTTTTGGTTCATTTTTCTCCCTGCCTTTTAGAGTCCATCTGTTGTGTCCCTGATCCAGTTGTTGATAATGGTAGCTGGGCACCATCTAGTTCTCCTGCTTTCTGAGTAACATGTGTCCTATAGACTTGTGACTTATTCTTCTCTGCGTGTTTGGTTTTCTGCTTGAACAAGAAATCATTTTTGTGTTTTTAAAGGGTTATCAAAGCAAAACAAAAAACAGAAGAATGTGTGACAGAACTTGGATGTAACCTAGAAAATTTACAAAAATTTTCTGTGGTCCTGAAATTTGTGTTTATTAGAAAATTTTAATAACCCCTGCACTAGAATATTGTAGCTAAAATAGAATGAGATGGATAATAACTGTGAGGTTTGGACTTGTTCATGCTCTTGGCTCAGGCCTTGTTCTCCTGCTGGGTGTCTGTAGCTGGAGCAGGTGCTGTGCAGATCTGATGAGTCAAGGTCACTTTGGGAATACAGAGCTCATTTGAGAAAATTTATGTGATAGCATTTTTTAAATTGTGATGCTTCCTAGAGATATTAAGGACTTTTGGTTGTCACTGTCATGGTCTGAATGGCCTGGAGGTCCCTGCTGGCTTTAGTCTACCCCTCTGGGCCTCTGGAAGCTGTGAATGTCAAGGGCTTGATGTTTTCCCCTGTTTTGTCAGACACCTGCGCAATGGAGCCGCTATTGCCCGTTGCAGCCAGCCCGAGATCAGCTGGTGGGGCTGGCGCAATGCTGATGATGAGTACTTGGTCACATCCATTGCCAAAGCCTGTGCCCTGGACCCAGGAACGAGGGCCACTGGGAACTCTTCCAGCACCGGGAATAGTGATACGAGCGAGGCGTGTGACACTGACTTTGGTAAGATGTGGGTGGTGCTAGACCTTGGGAGCCGACTTTGGCTTCCTTGGTTCCCAGGAGTCCTCTTGGAGGGAAGAATGGAGGTCTAAGTCCTTGCCCTTTGGAGAGGCTGTGGGGTGTGATGCATCACTAATCCTGAGAGAGCTAGTGCTGCTGGCTGACCCAAGGTCTTCTTGCTGTCTGTTTAGATTCCTCCCTGACTGCATGCTCTGGGGTAGAGAGCACAATGGCTCCGCAGAAGCTGCTAATCCTGGATGCTCGCTCCTACACGGCAGCAGTGGCCAACCGGGCCAAGGGTGGAGGTTGTGAATGTGAAGGTATTACTTGTCATCTCATTGGCTCAGTGCTCTAGGTGACTTGAGTAGGGGGCAGAGGTGGTGGTGATGTGACAGCTTGAATCATGGAAAGAGCCAAAAAACCTGGCTTGGGATCAGGACCCTACCACTTACTAGCTATGACTATACATTAATTGCTTAGCTTGTCTAAACTTCATTTTATTGCCTGCAATAAATGGGAATAATACATACTTTCAAATTGTTAGGACATTTAAAGTTTGTGTGTTTATAAGATTAATAGTACAAAGCAGCTACCATTTACTGAACATTTACTATGTGTTATCATGAACAATAGTATTACTACTACTGTTTGTTAGTAACAATACCATTATAACTAGTATATGGCACTAGACTATCCAGAAGTAAAAGTGTGATTCTGATTCAAGAGTCCATGTATGGGAATTAGGGGGGAAAGTCCATGTAAGTGCCATCCAGAAATGTTCTGCCCTGCAAGAGAAACTTAGCCCACTGAGACCCATCTTGATCTGCATGCCTGTTTATGAAACACACTCTTACGCTTCACTCCTTCCTTACTTATATAGAGTACTATCCCAACTGTGAGGTGGTGTTCATGGGAATGGCCAACATCCACGCAATACGGAACAGCTTCCAATACCTCCGAGCTGTGTGTAGCCAGATGCCAGATCCCAGCAAGTAAGTGTTCCCTGCTGTGACCTGTTTTCCTCTAATCATATCCCTGTAACTCATGTTCTTGGAAGAAGAGTTGGGGAAATGGGACATTTGGAGATATTAGACCTGAAGACTTGTGGAGTGTAGAGTGCCAGTCTCAACAACGTGTCTTCTTCTCAGCAATCACTTTGGCACAGTGGGGTTTCTTTGGTTTGGACCAGTTGTGCTACCCAAAGAACACAGAAAACTGGGAGAGAAAGCAGGTGAATGTAGAGGATGTCTCTTGTCCCTTACCTGGATGCATTTTAGTTCATTATTCTACAATAATGGTTTTACACAGTATTTGTTCTTGTGGGACTAAGTTCACTCAGCATAATGCTCTCCAGTCCCTCCCAAGTTAGGTAGTAATTTACAAAATCATTGCTCCTTCCAGCTGTGTAGTATTCCATTGTATGAATATACCACAACTTCTCAATCCATGCGTTTGTGGTTGGATATCTGGGCTGTTTCCATGTTCTTGTGATGATAAATAATGCTGTTAGTTAAGAACATTGGTGTACAAGTTTCCGGAAGTTTGAGCCTCAGATCTCATTTCTTGGGGTATATTCCAAGTAATAGAATAGCTGGGTCATAACGGAATTTCTATGTTCAACTTTTTGAGGAAGCATAAACTGCCTTCCAGGGTCATTGTACCATTACACAATCCCACCAACAGTGTAAGAATTCCTATCTTGCCACAGTCTCTCTAACATTTATTACTTGCTGCCCTGTTAAACTTTGCCACTGCTACTGAAATGAGATGGTATCTCATTGTGGTTTTGATTTGCATCTCTCTTATTGCCAGTAATTTGGAGCATATCTTCATATGTCTTCCTCTGTGAAAATTATTTCCATGTTTTTTGCCCGTTTTGTAGTTATCAGTCTTTGATACCCAGGAGTATTCTATAAACTTCTTTTACGAGACTCTTGTCTAAGATGGTATTACCAAATGTTTGTTCCCAGGCGGTAGGTTTTCTTTTCACCCTGTTGGAAAAATTTTTTGATGAACACAGGGATTTAATCTTTAGAAGGTCCCATTGTTCAGACTGTATTTCTGGCTGTATCTAGCAGTCTCTTTATAGTACAGACTAGGGCTTCTAAGCATGATACCAAGTTGTCTGTTATGAACTTAATGGTTTGGGGCTTGACTCCCAAGTCTGATTCACCTTGAGGTGATTTTTGTGTATGGTGTGAGGTGTAGATCCAGTTTCAGCTTTCTACAGGTAGCCTTCCAGTTTTGCCAGCACTGTTTGTTGAAGAGGTTGTCATCATTTCCCCATTTAATAGGTTTTATTTCCTTGTCGAATATTAGTTGACCATAGATGATTGTTGTTGTTGTTATGTGCCGTCTAGTTGCTTGCAACTCATAGCAACCCTATGTACAACAGCCCTAAACTCTGCTCTGTCCTGTGCCAGTCATACTATCTCTGACACTCCTATCCCGATTATCCCAGTCACTGAATCAATCCACCTCATAGAGGGCCTTCCCCTCCTGCGCCATCTCTCCACCCTACCAAGCATGATGTCCTTCTCCAAGGACCGGTCTCTCCTCACAAAATGTCCAAAGTATGTTAGACGGAGCCTCAGAATCCTTGCCTCCAAGGAGCCACCCGGTTTAACCCTTTCCAGGACAAATCTGTTTGTTTTCCTAGCAGTC